TAATAATAATAATAATAATAATAATAATAATAATAATAATAATAATAATAGTAGTAGTAGTAGTAATAATAATAGTAATAATAGTAATAATAGTAATAGTAATAATAATAATAACAACAACAACATGGGCCCCATTTCTTAAAGGATGCTGAATTTTGCTGATGTTTTGGTTTTGGTAGTCTTAGTTGTATGAATGAGTTAGGTTTTGAGGAATGTTAAAGACTCTTTGCTTTACTAAGGCGGTTAGGAAATTTCCTTTAAACATTTTTTCTCTTTTTCTTTCTTTTTTCCTTCTTTCCTTCCTTCCCTTCCTCTCTCTCCCTCTCTCTCTCTCTCATTCTTTCTTTCTTTCTTTCTTTCCCTTTCCCTCTCTCCCTCTCCCCCTCCTCTCTCTCTTACCTAAGAAGGTAAGAATCTCACCACTAAGTTGCTCAATTGTTATATTATTGAACACTCAGGGAGCAATCAACCAATACAGTGAATTTATCCATTGCTTCCCAGCCCATTTCCTCTGGCCTTTTAAAATGAATTCATTCTGATTTTAGTTCCATGAAATTGGACTTAAGGCTTGGGGAAGGCCAGCTGGGAATTTTTCTTTCTTTCTTTCTTTCTTTCTTTCTTCCTTCCTTTCTTCCTTCCTTCCTTTCTTTCTTTCTTTCTTTCTTTCTTTCTTTCTTTCTTTCTTTCTTTCTTTCTTTTCTTCTTTTCTTTTTCTTTCTTCCTTTCTTTCTTCCTTCCTTCCTTTCTTTCTTTCTTTCTTTCTTTCTTTCTTTCTTTCTTTCTTTCTTTCTTTCTTTCTTTCTTTCTTTCTTTCTTTCTTTCTCTTTCTTTCTTTCTTTCTTTCTTTCTTTCTTTCTCTTTCTTTCCCTCTCTTTTTTCTCCCTCTCTCTCTTTCTTCTTTCTTTCTTTTCTCCCTCCCTCCCTCCCTCCATTTCTGTCTTACTCTTTTCCTCCTTTCTTTCCTCCTTTCTCTCTCACCTCCTTTCTCAATCTAATGATACATCCCTCCCTCCCTCACCCTGAGACTTTTCCACCACCCAGTGAAAAGCAGAATTTGGCACCAGCTGAGAAAGCAGGAATCCTAGTTTGATTTGGAAACTCGTTGACTGTTTTTTCCCCAGAATCTGGACATCCCCCATCTCTGCCCGTAATCTTTCGCCCGCCCTGCCCATCTGCCCTCCAACCACTTCAGTGTGAGTACGTCCTGGCACCCACCGCCTTCTTGCCCCCCCCACCCCCGCTGGCTGGATCCAGCATGGCAAAGACAAGCTGGCGAGGTTGGCTGGCATGAGCCGACGGTGCCACTTTCAATCTGATAGCGGCTTGCGCTTGAATTCCCTCCCATCCTCATTGTCAGCCCTTTTTTTTATTATTAGACACAAATAGGAAAAAGTTTGTTTTGTTTTTTTTTTAACAGAAAAAAAAAACAGAGGTTACAAACTGCCCCGGGCTCAGAGGAAATGGGTAGTTTTTTCCGATTTTTTCTGTGCGTCACAGAAAACCCGGCAGCTGAAAGGAAGCAGACGCCGCGGAGTCGAGCAAAGAGATGGAGCCACGGGAGAGACTCCACTTCTCGGGCTCCGTTTAGACGGGCTAAGCTACTAGTAGCTATCTAAGCTATGCGTGAGGGCTGTGTCGACTCATAAAATATTTCTGTGGTCTTTTTAGAGTTGCCAACAGAAAGGGAGGGAGGAGCAGTGCGGCTGCTTGCATTCCATAAGTGTTTTCAAAGATAGTTTCTAGGTGACTGAAGTTTGTGCCCTGCAAAATTCTAACTGGAGAGCCTGATTGATGACTCTGGGCTATGGAGGGGTCCCACTGGAGAATATGTATTACAATACACCCAGAGGGGTTGGGGGAAAACCTGGGTCGTCAAGGGTGACAATGAATTATATGAAGTGAGGGGAGCCGAAAGTCAAGTCAAAATATTTCTATGGTCTTTTTAGAGTTGCCATCAGAAAGGGAGGGGGGAGCTGTGTGGCAGCTTACAAAACAAACTGCATTCCATAAATGTTTTCAAAGATAGTTTCTAGGTGACTGAAGTTTGTGCCCTGCAAAATTCTAACTGGAGAGTATGATTGATGACTTTGGGCTGTGGAGGTGTCCCATTGGAGAATATGAATTACGACACACCCAGGCAATGCAGGCATGTTTACTCCTAATAAATCTTCTTTAAGGTTTGGAAGTTTGGCTCAAGACTCATGATTTAAATGGGGGTAACTGCCGGCGCCCTGACAGGCGAACCTTTTGGGCACCGAGTGCCCAAAGCATGCGCATGCACGCACATCCTCAAAATGCAATGCAACATGCATCCCTTGTGCATGCACCCCCCCCGCTCCCATGCATGCATGCATGTCCCCTGTGCATGCATGCACAGCAGAGCTGAGCTGGGGCGATGGCTTGCGTGCCTACAGAGAGGACTCTGCATGCCACCTCTGGCACGCATGTGCCACAGGTTCCCCATCACGGTACTAGGGGATTAGGTTGTGTGGGGGGCAGAAAATAAATTTGTGCCATCTCCAGTTCTTCTTTCATTGGATGAAGGTCTTGGATGCGTGACTGGCTGGATGCCTTTGGCCCCCAAATTTGACAAGATCCAAAAGGGCCCCTGAATATATCATTTTAAAATGAAGGAACCCAGTCTGAGTCTTTGAAAATCAAAAGCAGAACTGGCACTACCGTAATTTATTTTTATAGTTATAATGTACACTGAAGAAGGCATTTGATTTCGTTGTCTGAGGCACAATGACAATAAAGTAAACTCAATTCAGCTCAAACTAAATACCCTCCTCCTTCTTCACCCTCTTCATCCTTTTCCCTACTAATTCCCAAGGGCTGGAATAGATGGCCTCAAGGGTTGCTCCCGACCCCACAATTCTACCGCCACAGTGGAACTCAAGGTGATTAGGAGGAGGAGTGAGCCTCCCAAGATGGGAGGCAAGATTCCCATCCAACTTCTCCTTTGCCCCCCCACAGGGCCTGCGGAACTCCAGTCCACAAGGTCCCAAAATCCTAGTATTGCCCATGAGGGATGGCTACTCACGTGATGGACGAGGAGGTGGCAATCTTCGTCTGAATGGATGCTCAGGACGAAGCTGGTGTTGGAGTTCAGGATGAAGACGGCTTTGCACTTGCCTTTGGCTGCCCCCGAAGAGACGTTGAGCTGGAGAGTGGACATCTAGGAGAACAAGAGAGACAGGTGGGTTTCTGGGCACGCTAGAAGCAACCGATGTCGGGGAGAAAGTTCAGAGACACCATACATCTTCAAAAAAGAGGGCTAAGGTTTGGGAAGACACACCCCGTCCCAAGGTTTGGAGAGCAGTTCCATCATGCGGAAAGATTTAGAAATATTTCTCTCGCCAGCCAGCCAGCCATCATCCATTCGTTCAACACCTGTCTGTCTGTCTATCATCATCCACTTGTCAATCTATCCATCCATCCTTTCATCCATCCATCCATTCAACTTGTCTGTTCTCTCTCTCTCTCTCTCTCTCTCTCTCTCTCTCTCTCTCTCTCTCTCCTATCGTCACCCACTCAATTTGTCAGTCTTCCATCCACCAATCCATCTACTCAATTTGTCCATCCATCCATAATCCATTCAACTTGTCTATCACTGATTGTGTATCCATCTATCTTCATCCACTCAACTTGTCTATTCATCCATTCATTCATCCTTCCTTCCATTCATTCATCCATCCATTCAACTCTGTCTATCTTACCTCTCTCTCTCTTTTCCCAACATCTCTCTATTATCTATCTGTCTATTTATCATCATCCACTCAACTTGTTTTCAACTAATCAGCTTAACCATCCTCCACACATTCAGCTTGTCTGTCTATCACTGTCTGCCTGCCCTCTATCTACTTATCTATCAATCTATGTCTGTTTGTCTTCCTACCTATCTATCAATTTATCACTCTGTCT